GAACAAAAATCGATATTTCCCCCCATGCTTTCGTGTGTGTGTGTGTGTGTCTGTGTGTGTGTGTGTGTGTGTGTGTGTGTGTGTGTTCGGGTTCTCTCGCTCTTTCGAGATTCCGACGTCCCAAGACGACCCAAGAGGGCACCAGTACTGCGCCAAGACGGCCCAAGAGGCGCCCCCAAGAGGGCCCCACGACAGCACGACAGGGCCCGAAGACGGCCCAGGAGGCGCCCCTCCCCAGGAGAGCTCCAAGACTGCCCCAGAGGGCTCCAAGACGGCCCCAGGAGGCGCCCACGACTGCCCAAGAGGGCCCAAAGACGGCCCCAAAGAGTGGGAGCACGAACCTCGAACGCGAGCCCTTGGCCCCAACGAGGCCCCAAGCAACGCCCCTTGCCTTATCGAGAAGCTGCCGCCTAGAGTGCTGCGCGCCGGCACGGTGGCGAAAGTTCTCTGGCGGCAGCTGGATCGTGCACCATGCTTCGGCCGGTTCTCCTGACGACAAGTGGTGGAACAACTGCATATATATATATATATATATATATATATACGTATATATATATGTACATAGATGCACGTATATACAGTGAGCTTGAGACGCCATTGGTCACTAAGTGATGGGCAGACACAACATGGCATACTGGACACGTTCCTAACCCCGATGCTGTAGACCAGGGGAGGCTGCCCTCTGGCCGCGCCCTGCTGTGCGAGGCGCCGACCGCGCCAGGAAAGCATGACCACCAGAGGTCAGCTGCCCCTGGCCTAATGCGGGATGACGATTAATAACAAAAATTGGAGAGAACGATTAAAAAAAGTTGTCTGCTATTTCTGCATCAATTTTCTGACTGGAAGAGAACGATTAAAAAATAGTTCTCCAGCCCGCGGCCGGTTTTCTAATCGTCATCGCGGGCATTTCTTAATCGTCATCCTCCATTACGGTGGGGAGCTTTTGCTCGGCGTGTCGCCGCGGCAGCCCTGGCGGCACGCTGTGCCCTGCACGCGGACAGCGTGTCGCTCCGCTCTGCAGGGCGGGAGGCTCGGGATGGCTCGGCACGGTGCAGCCTGGAGACTGGGGAATGGATGGCGTGTCGCGTCGAAGCGTGGTTTATCAGCCTGGAACATATCCCTATCCCTATGCTGGGTATCTCCTCATCACGATGCCAGTCTTAGGAATTCCCTTATTTTTTGAAGGCGAATCCCTAAGATTGTCATCGCCTTTTGGCGTGTCAATCTCAGGGATAGGGATACGTTCGAGGATGGTAAGTGGTAGCGTGGTGGGTCAGGACCAGCGGAGCGATACGCTGGCCAACAGTTCCCGACGGGACGTGCCACTCGCACCGCTGTGGACCGTAGACCGGGGGCGGCTGATCTATGGTAGCACCTTGCTGTGCGAGGCGCCAGCCGCGCCTGGCAAACCACTGCCAAAGGTCAGCCGCCCCTGGCCTGTATGGAGCGGTAGTGGCAAGTGAGCCCACGACCTCGTAGCCGTCACCCGAGCAGGCTGCGCTCGCGGCAGGCCGCAGGTCCCGGTCGATGGCCGCGTGGCGGGCCACGACCTCGGCGCGCCGACGGCGTCGACGTCGAGAGTCGTCGTTTTGGAAACAACGGCACGCAAGGGTGACCCTAATTAGGCACGAGTGACCTTTGGTGCGCGGCTTGCCTGGAGCCGCGGGGGGGGCCGAACCCAAGCGCGCAAGACGTTACCGTCGCATCATCGCGTTCGGCGATCGGGGGGGCCCCAGTGGGCCCGCACCGAAGGTCACTGCGGCGAAGGTTACGTGTAGTCGGTGGAAGATGTTTTGGGGGGCGTTCCTGGAGGTTCTCATGGCCACGGCCAGGGCCAGACGCATGCGGTGGCTGGGTTCGAGCGTATTTTTTGGGGGTCGCGGAGCGCAACCTCCGACCAGTTTTGCGGACGGACTTGGGGGTCGGGCGGGTTTTTGGTAGGGGAGGAGATGGCAGAAGGCAACCTGCTCAGATGGTTGCTTAAACGCTTGGCCCCCTTCGCCCTCGGGACTGCGAGGAGGGTTTCCCACTCCTGCCCCTGCCTCCTCTGCGCTCTCTCGCTCTTTCTCTCTCTCTCTCTCTCTCTCTCTATGTGTGTCTCTCTCTCTCTCTCGTTCTCCCTTTTGATCTCTCGCTCAAGATTTGGTGGGGGGTCGAAGCTGGTAGCTGGGCCCAGGGGCCCCAAGGGCGTCTGGAGTGCCCCTCCCGGCGGCCTGAAGACCCCCAGCAGGTCTTCCGCAGGGGCTAGGGTGTCCCCGAGGACGTTTCTCAGAAGGCGGCGAGGCCCCCTCCTTTCTTAGAAGTCCACCCGCGTCGCCCGCCCCCCTTGCGCGCCGCCGGACCTCGTCGGTGTCGATACCTCGGGAAACCACCTCTCAGGGGACACCGACTGTGCACCTGCAACGGGCGCAGCCTAACCGACCCCTTCCGTGACGAGCCCATTCCGTGACGCGCCCCTCGCACTCGAGTCTCCCCTCTGGCCGCCTGCCCGCGTCTTGGAGCGAGGCGGGAGGCGGTCACGGAAACGTCGGTTTGCCATGGGTTGGTCAGGCCGCTTTTGCCGATCCTGGCTGGCCCACTCCTGGGCCGAGGATCGGTGTACATGACATGCGTTCTTGGCCAAGCGGGGAAGGCATATACACCGATCTTGAGCCAAGGGCGGGCCTGGGAAGGTCGGCGGCAGGTGTGCGTTCGGCGTCCTCCAAACCTCGGGACCGACGGATTCTACAAAATACTCCTGCAGGGCCTTCTGAGAGGTCACCACGTCCACCTCCAGGAGCGAGTCTGCCTGCTCCATGAAGGAACACGCATACGCGAGCTCTGCCTCCACTGGTCTCGCCGGGTGGTCCGCAATATTGCCGAGCACGCCGTACTGCAAGCCCCACCACATCACTTGCAGCAAGGCCTGGTGGAGCAACGACCAGCCGTGCAGGAGCATGAGCAGTGGTTCCCGCACCTTGATTTGAGTCCCCACACGCACTCGCATTCAGGCTTTCCCACGACTGGCAGACCCGTGTGCGTCTGGTGTTTGAAAGGATGCTTCGTGTGCGGACACGTGACACGGTGGATGAGATGACATGGCACTGACGGGTGTATTGCAAACTCGTTGACGGGAAATGGCCGGTGGATGTTGGGCTTATTATGGTCCTCCTTTTCCTTTTCCTCCTCCTCCTGACGATCGTCAGTTTAATCACCACCACCACCATCCACATTATTATTATATAGATCACCACCACCGACATCATCATCACCATCATCAGATTCGTCATCATATCCATCAACATCATAGTCAGACTCACTAACATCATGGTCACCACGGCCATCACCATCAGCAACGTCATCATCAGCAGCATCGCCATCATCATTACCACCGCCGCCATCATAATCACAACTACAACCACCGTCACCACCACCAAAAGCAGTACCATCGTCGTCATCACCCACGTTATCGTCATCACTATCAACATAATCGCCACCGACATTGCCACTGTCACCATCATCACCATCATCATTTTCCCGCCCCGAGTTGCGATCGGGCTTAGGGCGGAGGCCGCGTGCGGCGCGCGCGAACGGGCTCGCAGGGCCCTCGCCCTCGTCGCGCTAGCAGGCCGAGCGGCGCCGCTCAGGAGAAGGAGATCTCCTGGGCGGCGAAGAGCACGCGCAGCAGGTACCGCAGCTAGCCTCGGCAGAGGGAAGGGCGGAGTGAGGGAGGGGAGCCGAGAAGCTACAGAAGCTCAGACGCGCGCGAGGGGGGATTATCAGAGAGAGTATTTTCCCGCCCCGCGCCTGCGATCGGGCTTCGGGCAGAGGCCGCGACCGGCGCGCGCGGGGGGGCCCAAGGGCCCGAGACCCCGGCGCGCGCGCGAGCCGAGCGGCGGCGCTCCGTGGAAGGAGATCTCCTCTGTGCTGAAGAGCACGCGCAACCATGCCCATGCTCAAAGTACTTGCGCACTGACAAGGCGATGGCGGCGGCTGAAATTTGCGCGCACCACGCAGAAGGGTCCGCGGCCAGAAAGGAGGCGACAAGGCGCTCGCTAGCGGCAGCGCAGCACGCAATGCGCGCACGAGCTAACGCGGGGCCGGCGGGCGCGACGGACGATGCGGCGGCGGCGTGGAGACGGCGCTCAGCGCTAGAGGCCCAGCGCCAGCGGACGCGCCAAGAGACGCGAGGAACGTCTTCCGCGGCCATGTAGAAGTCCGTCGGGCCGCGTTGGATAGCGGGGAGCCCAAAGCCGAAAGCAAATGGTTCCAGCGAGTGCGGAAGTCGCTCTGCCCGAAGGGCGCGCGCGGATCGGTGGAACGCAAATGCTGGAACACCGGTTCCAGGGGCTTCACCGACGACCTGTCGGAGCAGCGAACGTGCTGCGCCAGAAAGGCACGGCGGGTCTTCGGCGCCGTCGCGACAAGGAAGGCATCGCCGCTGGCGCCCAACCTTTTGCCAGGCAGCGCAAGGTCGCAGCGGCGGGCAGCCAGCTGTTCGCCGGGCCGGAAGAACATAATTACCCCTTCACTTGGGTGGATCAGTGCTTTTAAGTACTTAGCTGACTTGGTAAGTACTTTCGCGGACTTGGAAGCGACCTGTTCGTAGTGCTCAGCTAGGTTTTTAATCCGTAGCTTTCGAGAGTCTTAGCTTAGTAACTTAGCCCTGCGTTTAGAAGTACATACTAAATACTTAAATAAGTACTTAGCTTGACTCGCTAAGAACTTAGCTTACACTTCCACGGACTTAGCTACATACTTAGGAAGTGGCATACAAGTGCCTTAGCTAAGTACTTCGCTCCACACATATATATACTTACTAAGCACTCTAAATGTCGAACTAAGTACTTAGCTAAGTGCTCGCATTGACACGACGGGCCTCACGAACGCATTGGCACGTCAGAGGTCTCAAGGCCCTTTAAGATATGAGGGGTGTTCCACTGAGAGCCTTCTTCAGATTTCAGGAGGGCCCCCATTTTAATGGCAGATGCGGATGGTGGGGTAAACCGAAACCGTGTTGAGGAAACGAAGGAGGACGACGATGACGCCATTGATAACAGGGCCACGGCCGAGGATAAACCGCAATGCTGCCGACGATGGGTGTGGTGATGTTGCGGCAACATCAGCATCGCCATGCCATGGTGGTGATGAGGATGCCGATGATGACAGTGCGTGCGATGGACATGATGGTTGGTCGCTGCCGCGCTCAAGCGCCGAGAACCCCAGTCCGCATCGCCGCCCGCGCGCGACCGACTTCGTGCGCGGATGATGAATGAAAGGGCGATAATGGCGATGGTGGCGAGATGGGGGGGATGGGAATAGACCGATGAGTGGTGAGAACGGGAATCGGAGGCCGAGGGGTGCATGCTGCTGACGGTGCCGACGGTGCTGCTTCAGCTGCAACATCGGCAGTGCTCGCAGCGCTGAAGCGATGAGAGCACTGTCCGCACTGCCACCCGCGGTTTCTGAGGGTGGCGGCGTTGGTGGCGATGGTGATGCCGACGGGGATGGCGCTGATGATGACGATGTTGTCGGCGCACAGGCGATGGTGATGCCGCGTCGTCGCCTCTCGCTCGTGCGCAGTGCACGATGCGGTCGTGGACCGCGTGCCTGCAGGCAGCTTCGGCCAGGGCCACTACAGCGCACCTGGGCGATGCAGAGAACGCCCTGATGCACGGCTGCTTTAGCAGACGCGCACAAGGACGTCGCGCACCTGTAAATGCATGCATATCTGCACGTGCGCACATATACATACGGTGGGCACGAGGCGCCCGACGCGACAGTATCCCAGATGAGCAGCATGCGCACGACGCATTACATGCCGAAGTTGTCCTCTCCCCACAGCAGGACAAGATGCGCGCCGTCATCGACGCCGTCCGAAAACCAATACATGCAGCGCGCCCGCCACATCGCTGGGATCGCCCCCCCCCCCCCCCCCCCCATCCGTCGACCAGCACGATGAGCTCGGGCGGGCGGTTGTGGCGGCCCACCACGGGCCACCGCCGCGGTGGCGGGGACGCGGCATTCGTGCGCGGAGGCCGCCAACTGGACCCCATTTGAGCCAGAACAGCTCGCGTCGGCAGAGAGTGCCACGTCGCGCGTGCGCGCGCGCGTTGCTGCAGCGCCGCGTTCGCCCATCGCGCACCAACGTGGCGCTCAGCGCCACATTGATGTGGTCGGGGGCTATTGGCGTTGGAGGAGTGGCGCAGCGGGGCGGGGGGCGGGATCTGACGGCGGCGTGGGATATGGGGATGGTGGAGGCCATGGAATGACGGAGCGGCGGCCGCCCGCGGGGTGGGCCGATTGCACCGCTGTGCTTCTATGCATACATATATTTATAGAGATACATTATCCCAGCGCGACCCGACTTAGGAGTTGGAGCCCCTAGGAAAGCATCATTAGTAGTGACAGTAAAACTAAGCCAACGCTAACCTCAAGCTAAGTTCAAACTAAGCTAAAGCTAAAGCTAAGCTGAGAACTAAGCTAAACCTAAGCTCAAGCCAAGCTGGAGCTAAGCTCAAGCTAAGCTAAAGCTAATATAAAATCAAGCTCAAGCTAAGCTAAAGTTAAGCTAAAGCTAAGCTGAAGTTAAGCCAAAGCTAAACTAAATCTAAGCCTAAGCCTAAGCTAAAGCAAACACTAAACTAAAGCTAAGCTAAAGCTAAGCGAACACTAAGCAACAGCTAAGCTCAAGCTGAGCTAAAACTAAGCTATAGCCGAGCTGAAGCTAAGCTAACGCTGAGCTACATCTAAGTTAAAGCTAAGCTAGAGCTAAGCTAAAACTAAGCTACAGCTGAGCTGCAGCTAAGCTAAAGCTCCTCTAAAGCTTAGCTGAAGCTAAGCTAAAGCTAAGGTCAAGCTAAGCTAAAACTAAGCTGAAGTCTAAGCTAAAGCTAAGTTAAAGCTAAGCTAAAGCTAGACTGAAGCTAAGCTAAAGCTATGCCAAAGCTGAGCTAAAGCGAAGCTGAAGCTAAGCTGGAACTAATTCAAAGCTGAGCTAAAACTAAGCTGAAGCTAAGCTAAAGCTAAGTTAAAGCTAAGCTAAAGCTAAGCTAATTCAAAGCTACGTTAAAGCTAAGCTAAAGCTAAGCTAAAGCTAAGCTAAAGCTAAGCTAAATCTAAGCTAAAGCTAAAAGCTAAAGCTAAAGCTAAAGCTAAAGCTAAAGCTAAAGCTAAAACTCAAGCTCCCAGGGGACTGGGGGAACCGCGGGGCGGACGCCGGGGGAACTGCCCGGGGCGTTCTGCACTGCCCGGCCCCTTTAAGCTAGACGGTAAGAACCCTTCTAGGCAGAGCCTAGGTAGAAAATATTCACAAATTGCTCAAGTCGCGGTCCGCTGCTGGACCTGAGCGCCTCGCCCCGCCTGGGGCGACCCGCCGTGCCGCCGATGGCCCAGAAGCGCCGCGTCGACGAGGGCGAGGCGCTGGCCGCGGAAGTGCAGGCCGCCGACGCGCTCGTCAAGGCGAGCGAGCAAGTTGGGACGACGACGACAGCGACGACGACGACCCTGACGACGGCGACGACGGCGGCGGCGACGATGGCCCCGACGGCGGCGGCGGCGGCGACGACGGCGGAGATGGCGATGACGATGCGGGCGTTGACGACGATGGGCGCGCTGCAGCGTGCCCGCGACTATCGCCGCGGCGGTGGCCAGGGGGGCGGGCGCGGCGACGACTGCAGGCTGCGTTCGAGCAGGGCCAGTGCTGCGGCGAGCTGAGCCAGCAGCTCGAGCTCGCCCAGAGTGCGGCGCAGGAGTTCGAGCTGCTGTGGCGCGATGGGGAGGCGCGCAGGGGGGCCGCGGAGATCGCGGCGGCCGAGGATAAGGAGAAGGCGGAGGTGGCGGCGCTCAAGGTGCGCCTCGAGGGCGCCAACGTGCGCATCGACGACCTCGACGATGCGCCCGGGGAGCGCGCCGAGGAGCTCGGCCATGAAGCTCGCGGGCGCGCGCTCGCCGCCGACGCCGCCCAGCGCCTTCGGC